CAAACTTGTCAAAATTATTAGGGACGAAGGGGTTGTTGGCCAATCACAAGGTGAAGGGAGGCATATAAGAGGGTTTGGTAGAGAAGCATGTAATGCAAAATTAAGGTTGAGTTCCCTGTACGTACGGTGGTGGGTCCTACCTCAGCTAGTCTAGTCAAAAAAATAGGAAACCATTTGGAAATAAAAGGATCGAAGATAAGATATATGGGATGCTTTGTGTCAGATAGATAGATCAGCCAACTTGGGATACTTCTCCCCTGCTCTTTTCTCCGCTCTCCAGTACAATTGCAGAAGAAGACGAGTTGATAATCATTCTACCTCATGTCTATCTCGTACCTTCCCACCTGTTTTATTAGTACTCCTTTGTGCACCTTTCATGATTTTTTTTGATACTTCATGTGTCCGGTGTTACGTTCTGATAATCCTGAAGTCTATGAACTACCTTCCAAAGTTCCTAGACAATTAATCCGGATCTGATCACAGTCAGTCTCGTCAGTACTGACTCCAAAGGACGAATCCAGCAGGACTTACATCACCTTTCAGACTGCTCCTCCCACCACATGAACCTGCTACCTTCATTATCATCATCTCCCTTCTCAGCCGCTGAGCAACTCCGTGAAGGTAGGAAGAATCATTGGGAGCAAGATCTCCCTCCTCTCCCCTAAATGTGCCTAACGGGATTCGAACCCGAGACTTCCGCTAGGACACAGTAACCTCCACCCAGTGAGCTCGAATGGTTGGTTTTCATGATATTTATTACTCATAAAAGAGTAAAAATAGGCACTTTTAATTTTTTGATGAAAGCAAACGAAAGCAAATCAAAATATCAGACAATTAGTTTTTTGTCGTAAAAGACTTAAAATGAGATCAACATGAATCCAACTAGAACAACTAGCTAGTGTACTCGTTTACAATAAAAAAACTAATGTACATACTCAGAAAAAAAGAGGAAACACAAACTATCGTCTTCGAATAAGCAGCTCGAATCACAAACGAATTAGCAACCATAAGTCAAAAGTGACCAACTTACTTCTAGTCTAACGTACAATACTTGCCTACAACCTATACAAGTGAAAGTGATGTAATTGATTGATATCGGTATACATGATACATGGCTATATACACGACTGCAATGCAAATGGATTAGTCTGACTAACAAACTCCCTAAACCTGTGGAGTACTCTACGTATACAGGTATGGATAAACATTAGCTAATACACTACTCCATATCTTTTTAAACTTCATAGTTTGACTTCACATTGATTAAAAAAATAAATTTGATTTTAATGTAGAGTACACCGTTGAGACACTATTTGACACTGTTTGAAACTGTTGAGACACTGTTTCGCACTATTTTGATGTAGATTTCTTTGCCAAATAAGGAAATAAGGAAGTGTGAAGTTTAAAAAGATCCGGAGGGAGTATTTGTTTTTACTCCAGGGGGTGTCTGGGGGAGGGGGACTCGGGGGTCAGGAGTAATCAGGGTTGAAACTCAGTCCATTGAGTTTCAAACCCTTATGTGCGTAGCGTGTTTCGAACCCGAGACCTCTCACTAGGCACGGTAACCTCACAACACGCTGGGCTGGAATGCTTGGTTAATACACTAATTAATATAATAACAATAATAGTTATTACGTATTATTACGCCCCCGCAAGATGGAAGTTCTGTCGAAAATTCTCATCTTGGATCTAAACTTGTCAAAGAGAGTCTTGCTCAGAGGTTTCGTCAGAATAGCTGCAATTTGATACTTATTAGAGATGTGCCAAACACATAATTGACCACTTCCAACCAAATCACGAACAAAGAATAAATCAAGGGTAAGATGCTTCATGTGAGAGTGAAAGACCGGATTTACACAAACATATGTTGCACTTTGATTGTAATAAAATAAATTGGGCATTTGGGCGTAGTGGTCAACTTGATATATAGTTGAGATAGGAGATTACGTATCCATAATAATTTCCCACTAGCATGAGCAACCGCACAACATTCGGCCTCGGTGGATGATCTGAAAACGATCTTTTGTTTTGCTGATTTCGAAGAGATAATGTTGGAGCCCAGTTACAAGATATATGTCATTGTAGACTTACCACCATCATGTACCCCTCCCAAGTCGGAGTGCGAAAATGCTGTTAACGTAAGGGATGTAGAGTGGTGGAGAAATAGGCCATAATTTAGCGTGCCTTTTAGATAACAGAGGACACGTTTCACGTCTTGCCATTGAACATCCTTAGGTGCATGCATGAATTGAGATAACCGGTTTACCCCAAAAGAATGTCTAGATGAGTGAATGTCATATATTGAAGAAGTCCCAAAAGTTGGCGATATTGACATTGATCATTACTGGAACTACCACCCGTAAGTTCAAGGGGTGAGGAAGAGCACATATGAGTGCTCGACTCTTTTGCTCCCTCCATATGGAACAACTCCAGAATATGTATTATATATTGTCATTGTGATAGAAATAGGCCAACATAACGAGGAACAACTTCTACACCCAGAAATGTAAATCACCAAGGTCCTTGACAGAGATTCGCTGAGTGAGACTGCACACAAACTTATTAATGGCATCGGGATTGTTACATGTGAGAGAAATGGCAGTCATGTCAGTCAAATAATCATCAACCGATCAATCGCCCTTGATAGTCTTGGAAAATGGAAACTTGAGGGAAACAATTCTGTTGTGAGAGGTGTTGGCATATGTGTTTGTCAATTTGTCCCATGCTTGGCGGCCAATGGATGTCGATGCGATGATCAGTTGAATGGTGTCGAAGCAACTTTCGATAAGGTCACTCAGGATCGTTTTTTCTTGCCCATACGAAATGATATAGTAGGGATTGGGTGTTGATTTGGCTGGATTAAGGAATATATCCGGGACATAGATGTTTCTATCCACATATTCATTAAGTCTAAGTCCAAGGTCGATTTGGAATTTCCTTTCTGTAGAAGGAACACACAAGATTAGTTTTACGCAATTTAGCCGCTCACACAAGAATTTTATTTAAAGAAGGAACACACAAGATGTCAGATAGGGTTAGAGAGTGGGAAGGTGGTGGATAAAATAGTAGAAACAATATGAGTAATAGGAAGCTTTTTACCGTCACCAAAGTGGACTGCTTTAGGCCCACCATATTCACAGAACGACGGGAGAAGGGATGTGTTTGATGCAACATGATGAGACGAACCACTATCAAACATCCAGGACTAGCCGCCCATCGGGGCAGTGGTAGTGTGATATATGAGGCCCACCGGATGATGATGGGTGTGGGATGTTATGGTCACGAAGGAACCGCTGGAGCTTTCTACAATACTTAACCTCGTGTCCGGTGTTCTCACAAAAGCGACATACCATGTGATATGTGGAGGGACAAGTAGGTGTAAAGTGTGTGCCTCCACGCCCACAGCGAGAAGAGTGTCTTCTTCGATCAATGGAGTAATCATAATGGCGACGATCGTGATTGTTGGAGTTCTGTGGCTGGTCTGTCAAATGAGTAACATGGACAGCCGGAATGAGTATTTGATTCACAACATTGCCCTCTTGAAGCTTTGTTTCACGTTCCTTGAGAATAGATTGCAATTCAGTAAGTGACATTGGAGTGGCGCGGGTTCGAATAGCAGAGGTCATGTCATTGGACTCATGACCAAGCCCATAGAGTATGCTGATGACAAAGTCCTCCTCAGAAATCGGGCTCTGAGCGAGAGCAAGGTCATCAGCAATGCCACTCATTTCATCAGCCAAATAATCTTCGGTAGGAGATTACATATCCACAATAATTTCGCACTAGCTTGAGCAACTGCATGACATTCGGCCTTGATGGATGATCTGAAAATGATCTTTTGTTTTGCTAATTTTCAAGAGATAATGTTGGACCCGAGTTACAAAATATATGTCGTTGTAGACTTACCACCATCATGAACCCCTCCCTAGCCGGAGTCCGAAAATGCTCTTAACGTAAGGGGTGTAGGGTGGTGGAGAAATAGGCCATAATTTAGCGTGCCTTTTAGATAACAAAGTATATGAAAGTATGATTTTGGGAATAATGGCTTACCCTATCGGGTGCCTTAGCCTTCTATTTATAATAAAATAGGGTTATGAAATATTACAAAATAATCCCTAAATATTACATCAGTACACCCCCTCAATTTGTGCAAGGGAAATCACGTGCAAATTGAAACGTAAAAATTCAAAATGCTGAATAGATAAATTCTTGGTGAAGATATCAACTAACTGCAACTGGGTAGGAATATGCGGAATATGCGTCACCACAAGATCTCCATGTGCTACTCGTTCACGAATGGAATGGTAGTCGATTTTAACGTGCTTTCTCCGATCATGTTTAATGAGATTAACTGCCAAGTATGAAACTGAGACATTATCACAAAGGAGTTGCACTGGGGCCTATTAGGAAATAATTTCTTATGTTTTATTATTATTTTCTAAAAGTCCTATTAAGTTGAGGAAAGAATGGTTAGAAATGTCATTTCGAAAGTTGAGGAAGATAGTTTAAAAGATTGATTACACACCTTTGATAATGATGGAGTAAGTCGTCTATATTTTCTGTTGAGTTGGACTTGGGGTACACACTTTTGGTGTACACACTTTTTACACATGTCTGTGTAAGGTTTTTTTTATGTCTGTACAGACATAACGCATTTTAAAATACGTTATGTCTGTACAGACATAAAAAAAAACCTTACACAGACATGTGTAAAAAGTGTGTACACAAAAAAGTGTGTACCTTTAGAATTTTTCTTTTCTGTTTGATTTGCACCAGATTATCTTGAAGAAAGTACTCTCTGACTGCTCCACACAAACAAATTCATTTACTCGATTTTAGAGAAAATGACTCCAGTCTCCAGGTACTATATGTCTCACGCATATTTTTTTTTTTGTTTTGGAATATTTGAGGATCTTTTGCGCTGTTCAAGACCACATCAAATCCTACAGCACAAGTAAATGTCCAGCCCACCCCAATACTAATGTCCCGCCCATACCAAAATTAAAACTCAGCCAAGCCCAAGTCTAACAGCAGACTTATTAGCGGCCTGCGGCGAAGCCCAAGATGAAGCGCGACACGCGAAGAGCCGAAGAGCCAGAAGAGACCTGCGGCCACCGGTCGCGCCTCCGCCTGCCGTCCAAGTTCCCGCGTCATCCCGTCGACTCCACCGCTCCAGCTGTCCAGGCGTAAGGCGGCTAGGCAGTCCAGCACTCTGCCCTCCAACCTCCACTCTCCAGCCCTCTAGGTATGTGCTAAGTCTATATACTCTTTTAATGTATCATTCTTTCAGTTGTGACTTGTGACTCTGTGTATTTTTTTTCAATTTTGTAATTGTATTTGATTATTAATTGAATTTTTCAGCAGATAATAAAATAGTGTTTATTCTTTATAAAATTATAATGAATAAAGATAGAATTAAATATTAGAGATTGGTTTATTTATTATACAATTGAAGATTAGATGATGATTTATTTATTGTGTGGACATGTAAGAAAGAATTAAAAATTACAATTGAATTTTAAAATTGGGAATACATATTGGTTTTATGTACGATTGTTTTTTCTTATTAGTTTTATAATTTTATAGAAGTATTTTAATTCATACCAATATTGAAAATGTTATTTAGAATAGATAGTGAACATACCGCCAAGAAAGGAAAATGAAATGAATACCTAGTATGAAAATTGAGCTCGAATTTGGCTCGATAGATTATTGGTGTTTGATTTTCATGCTGAATAAACATGCTTGAATGTAGAAGTTTAGACTATACTCGTTAATAGATTCATGTTGAATTATTCAATAAATACTTGAATCTTTAATAATCATTAATAAATTTATAAAATTGCACTAAAACGTTTAAATTTTAAGATATATACAAAGTATATTTTATTCATATAATTTATAAGTGAACGATAGCTTCGCGTCCAGATCGAACCAAACATCACTATGTTCGAACTCGGCTTGAATAACTATTCAAACCCTAAACCTAGTCTGTGTTCGAGTTCGAAGCTTGTTAGTCGTTAAGCTAGGATCATTAAATTATATTCGAAATCAAACTCGAACTCGAGTATATATTTCAAAAAAAGCTCGATTCGATAACACCTTTGAGTTAAACCTTGTATGTATAGTAACAATTTTTTGTATTGTGTAGCCCACCCCACCTCTCAATCCTAGATCTGCCCCTGGAGGTAGAGGATGTGGTGGCATTGGCCTGCATATTTTTTTAATATTTTTTCGGCATGGTATTTTATTTTTAAGACTTTTAAGTTTTTTAAATATTTTAATTTTTTTTAAATTTTATTTTATTTTTATCGTTTTTGTTACTAATTTATAAATTTTTATTTTATTTTTTATATTGTCATTATAAATAAAATCATAATTTTCTGAGGGGAAATGGGTAGAGTAGAAAGACATGATATATATTACTCTATTTTGATTTTTGAGATCTATGGTTGCATTTAGATCTACTTTTAAACTTATTTAGGCTAATAGCTTAAAAAAGATACGACTATGAGACTATGAGTTATTTTTTTTACATTCAGAAATGTAAACCCTATTATCCCTTTCAATTATCCCGAATCAACGGCCTTATCTTTCAGGTGAACACCCTAGAGGTTGTCCTGAATAGATTGATCAAAAGCAGTCCTGATGCCCACCAAAAATCTAAGTTTCCACTCCAAGTTTGTTTCAAAACATATTAGGCCAATTCTAACTTAATTGCAGTTTCTATTTGCTGTTTCTAATTTCCAGTTTTGCTAGTGCAGAATTTGAGAATCACCATTTCGCAACCCAGAAAAATATGGAATTGGATAAGAGCAAGTTTGATTTGCAACTGAATCTGTGGGCACTTCGAATTCCATGCCAACATTGCAAAATGGCCATTCGAATATTCAACGGGTGCGCCGTTTTTATTATCATTTGGACGTATTTCAGTTAAAGAGCACTTTTTTAATACAGCACCAGATAACATGTTTTTGCAGTGTATCTTGGTAATGTACCTAGTGGTCCTAGTCTTTGACAATTTAAGTTAATTCTTGAAGTAGAATTGTCAGTGATTTTAAATACCCGCCTTTGTTAACTTTTTCTTCCTTCCCAATTCGGCCATTCTGAAAGGGTGTGGTGGAGGGGATTTAAATGGAAAGGTTGATTTTGAGTACTCATGACATTCAGCTCATTTTATTATGTTTAGTTGTATGTAGTTTCTAGACTAGATTGCTCTGATGATGGCATAGAACATGTTTTCTTCTTTAGATATATGCTTGACAGGCCCCGCATAAAGCCTATAATGGAAGATCCTACAAGTAAAACGAGCCGTTACTTAATTTTATCTGAAACAATCCAAAATGCAGGTAAATATTGCTAAATCACATTTGTAAATAGAGGATGTGACTTGTAATGTATAATGACGCCTACTTGGCCTAAATTAAACAGATTTATCAGAAGTGCCAGCCCAAAAGCTTGCTGAACTGGAAGGTCTTTGTGAAATTGAAGTAGTCCCGTATTCACTGACATTAGGGTATTCATATTGGAGTGCAGGTTACATACTGAGGTTCATTCTTAATATTATATACATACTAAAATTCATTTTTATAACTTACATCATTTTTGTTTCCTTTTCCATCATTTGCAATGGAGCCAAAGATTCACTATTTTTTTGGGTTGAGAATATAATGGAATAAAGCAAAATGACTCACTAAACTCTCTGTGCTTGTTTGTTATGAAGCAACTGTCACTCTATGCAATTTTCGACGCGATTTTTACCACGGGTCATCCGGAAACAGTCTCTCTGTGCTTTAGTACAGGGGTTAGGCTTTGTACATCCGACTCCCCTTACCCACCGTAGGTGGGAGCCTTTGCGGCATTGGGGTGATGATGGTGATGATGACATCATTTTTGTTAGATATTTGGTTAACTCATCTTAGATAATTTTGCATCCATATATGGTTAATTTGAATGAGACATCATTTTTTAACTCAAAATGTTTTTTGTCACTGCAAATATAACACCTTTTGGTTTATTTTCCTGATTTCCTAAAAAATATTTTTTCATCCCTGCAAGATATGCTATTTTCTTTTTTTGTCCATATCTAAAGACAATCTCCATTTTGAAAAACATAATGTCTTCTCTTAACTTTCTATGCCAACGACCAACGTTTTACAACTTTTTGGAGGCTTGTACTGGAGGCCTGGAGCTAAGGCCAAGCTACACTAATCATTCATGTTTTTAATGTAGGCTATCTATAAATAACATTAAAGTATTGTTTATCTATAAATATCTTTTATGTTTTTTAAAAAAATTAAAAGATGTGAAAAAGCAAGAGAGAAAGTCATGTCTTTTTTATTGTTAAATGGAGGTCCATAGAGAGTTGAAGAATAAAAGGACAAACATGAAAATAAAGCAAAATACATGGATGAAAAACAAAATATTAATTTTGCATGGACCTAAACAAAATAAACATCATATTTGCAGGGATTGAAAACATATTTTGTTTTAATTTCAAAATGCTTCCATCAATGACATATTGACAAAATTTAGTTTGTTTTTCTATATTCTCACTGAAGTAGTTCATTGCAGACCATATACTAAAACAGATTCTGCCTATTGGACTTGAAATTCCATCATCATTTGAGACAATAGTTAAGTACTTCATAATGCATACTGATGATTTCTGTACTTATTTCATTCTTCATTTCCTCCTCTCCAATTCATGCTTACTGTTTGGAATACAAGCTTGCAATATTCAAACTATCTTTTTCAGGTTCCTGATAATATTGGGATTACTTGATATATGTCTGCAGGTCATATTGCTCATTTGAACATAACCGACGAGCTTCTTCCATACAAGGATGTGATTGCAAAAGTTATTTATGATGTATGTTTACTTAATTATGCCTCTTATGAACAAATTCTTGCTGTTTATTTTTACCAACACTAAAAAAATGAGGAATAAAGCAAAATGGCTCACTAAACTATCTGCGCTTCTTTGTTATGGAGAAGCAGTCAGTCCATGCAATTTTGGACGCGATTTTCACTATGGGTCATCCGGAAACAGTCTCTCTGTGCTTTAGTACAGGGGTAAGACTACGTACATCCGACCCCCCCTTACCCCACCGTAGGTGGGAGCCTTTGCGGCACTGGGGTAAATGAAAATGAAAATGACTAAAAAAATGAGGAACTGACCGTTGGTTAGTTTCTGGTTAACACCAAAATGTGTGGACTAAAGTTGAATGTGATTCACTGCCTTTCTCGATATGTGATATTTCACAACTCGTTTGTTCTTATTCAGAAAAATTACCCCAGAATCCAGACAATTGTCAATAAAGTTGGAAGCATCACAAATGAATTTAGAGTTCCAAAATTTGAAGTACTCGCCGGGAAAGATGAAATGGTTACAGAGGTAAAGCAATATGGAGCGACATTCAAGCTTGATTACAGATTGGTCTATTGGAACTCAAGACTGGAACATGAGCATCTGAGGCTAGTCTCACAATTCAAGGCAGGAGAGACAATATGTGATATGTTTTCTGGTATTGGTCCATTTACTATTCCAGCAGCACAAAAAGGTTGCAGAGTGTATGCAAATGATTTGAATCCAGACAGTGTCTACTACCTGAAGCTTAATGCTGATCTGAACAAGGTTAAAGACCTAGTGTTTGCTTATAATATGGATGCGAGAAAATTTCTATCTCAACTGATGGCTGTACCTTCTGGTCAAGGCAATTGGGAATCTGGCGTTCCTCCTGAACCTTCAAGGACATGTAATCATGATCATCCAAATGGAATAACAATTTCTGTAGAGACAGGTGTATCAGGTATTTTGCATGCTGCCTTTTCGTTTTAAACTTTGATCGGAAGTTAAAGTGCTAGGTGTTGCCGTGTCTGGTGGGAAGTGGAGGGTTGCTTACGCCTTGGCCGTCAACAACAACAACAACATCCAAGCCTTAATCCCAAAACAATTTGGGGTCGGCTAACACGAATCGATCTATGATATCGATGCCAAAAAGAGAAGACGGACAAGAAAGGGAAGAAAAAAAAGTAAGATAAAATGAATAAAATAAAAATAAATAAATATACGATAACAATAACACAAGAATATAAGAAAGATAAAAGATAAAAAAAATAAAAGAGCATAAAAAAGCTAGAAGATAAAAATAACATAAGAATATAAAAAGATAAGGAAGATAAACGATAAAAGAAAAAAGAGAGGAAAGGTAGAAAAAACATGTTAGCCAACCCAAACTCTTTGGGGAATAAGGCTCAGATGTAGTTGGTTGGATAGATTTTTTGAAATTAAATGTTAAAGTATCTAACATGAGTTTAACATATATTTCATCATTTCGCATTATAAATTTTCATATATAAGAAAAATGATTTATGAGTTTTTCCACTTTTAATCCACTGGCCATTGTGAGAGATACTTTTTGTCTTCTGGCACTTGTTTTTATTTTCCCCACTTTTAGTCTTCATTTTGGTACACTTTAGAACTTTTCCACTAGTGGTCCTCCAACTGTTGTAGCAAAGTTGAAAGACAAGTGCCAGAAGTGTTATTCTCACGATAGTCCGAGGAGTGAAACTGGAGAAATGCAAAGACGAGTACCAAAAACGTGTCTCACAATAGTTAGAGGTGTGAAAGTAGAAAATGCAAGGATGGATACTAAAATTGTCATTGCCAACAGTGGGAAAAACTCAATGATTACCATTCAATTACAATAAGATCTGAGACCAAAAGTTTGTGAGTTGTGACAAAAAGGAATTACAAATTGGCTAACGACTCAGCCCCCTACAAAACAGAAAGAAATCATCACGTATCCCATATTTCTTGTAGTTTATATCTGATATTTGTTTATTATTCAATATACAGAAGTGTACAGATAAAATGTCACTTTAGCAACAAGAATAATTGAATTTTAAAAATAGCTTGGAACGCCTAGGTAGTTGACCAATTAAGGCCGATTTGGCTAATGTGTGCCTATGCTGCTTTTTAGAATGATGGCCATAATAGTATAATACTATCTCCTTGCAGATGAGTTGGAAGAATTACCTGGCAATGTTTCAAAGATTCCTGGTAGTGCTGAAGGGGAAAATATAACTGCTGCTAAAAGACATTGTGAGAGTTCTAAAGAAGGTGCTTTACACTATTACTATGGTTAAGCAAAAGGAAGTTTAAGTTAATCTTTACATCCCCCAATGTATTTTATTAATTGAAATTCCTATTGCAATGCTTACTAAAAACAAATGGCGTGAATTTTTTATTTGAAGGAAATGAGAGAGTTGAAGGTAGCAGTCCTCCTCTGACTGGTACAAGAAAGAGAGGGCCAAATAAGAGGGTTAGAGTTTCTGATCCATGTGACACAAATCCCTGGGAGCATGTAGATCATGTCATCATGAACTTACCAGCATCTGCTCTGCAATTTCTCGGTAGAGTGCTGCTTCTCTTTTTTCAATTTACATCTATGTATCATAGTAGTGAAGCTCTTTAATTATAGGAAAAATTGATCGTAATAATCCCAACTATTGGCGGTCTGCTCATAATAATCCCAACTATCGATTATTTCAGAATAATCCCAACTTTAGGGATATTCCGTCAATAATGGTCCGACGTGACCGACTATAAATAAATTCCTATAGTTTTTAAAGAGATATAGCAGGTAATCCCTATAAATAATCCCAAATTTTAATTTTTACGCTTAATTTCTATTAAAAATTCACTTTTTAGAGCAGGTAATATGCGATCAAGGACCATTATTGGTGAACGGTTCATATAGTTGGGATTATACAGAAATAATCAATAGTTGGGATTATTGTTAGCGGACCGGCAATAGTTGGGATTATTATTTTCAATTTTTCCTTAATTATATATTTATTATTGCCAAATTGTTTAGCATCAGTCATGGCAGTTAGTATCTTACTGGCCTCCTCATTATATTAAAACCCTTGAGATTCATCTGCTAATATGGTGCAAAGTTGTGGGGCCGGGGGGGGGGGGGGGGGTATGCGTGTTATGCTTGCTCACAGCTGGAAACCAAATAAATGTTGAAAACTTCAAACTGAATACTTGTGTATGCATACATAGAACCAACTACTTATAGAGATCAATCAATTTTCTAGATTTTGTACATCTTGATTATATAGATTAGTTGCAAAGAGGAATAGTGGGAAAAGAATAGATTGATCAAAATTTTCTCCAATAGATGTGTTCAGAGGCCTTATAGAAAGGAGATGTTGGAAGGGCTCTTTACCTCGAATTCATTGCTATTGTTTCATGCGCTCGTCTGAGACCAAGGAGTATATAATTTCAGTAAGTAAATCTAATAGTGTTTTTCAATATCTAACTTTTATGAGTTAAGTTTTAATTTCTTAGTTTCTAATAGACATGGGTTTTAACCTAGGTGTTGTTTGTTTGCCTTGTTTTTTCTCATTTACAGGAAGCAGAGACTGCATTGAATGCTAGTATAGCAGACCCAATATTTCACAGGGTAAGAGACGTTGCTCCAAACAAGGTACAAATCTACACCGCTCCATGCCTCCATTACTGAATTACTTGACCATAATCCAGTTTATGAGCAACCTTTTTACTATGTGCAGGCAATGTTTTGTTTGAGTTTTAGATTGCCAGAGGAAACTTGTAAACATCACAAAGTCAATGGTAGCTCTCTGCTTTCATCAGGAGAATCTTGACTGGTTTCTGGGAAAGCTTTCAACTCCATCTGGAAGTTTAAAGCTCTATGTGTTTCTTTCATAGTAATGATTAGAAAGATTGATCTGTAAGATGGCAACTGATTTGGAAGAAACAATGTAGCATAAGGTGTATGAATGTACTGAACATATATGTTGTATTCTAAAATAACTAATAACTTGCGATCATGATTTGAACATGTCATCTCATTATTTATTGTTTTATAAGTTTCCTTGTAGTCTCCACATTTTTACTTGTATATTTTGCATGAACTTATATACGTAGTATGGAGTAATATTTAACAAAATTTGGACAGTATTTGGCACTACTTTAAGGAAACCTATTGGTCATTTGGTCAATGGTAATTGTATTATTGAATAGAAGATTTTACAGTCTTACACAGAATGATGCTTCTGCAACGTTTACATTATTTCGTAATAAGTCATGACATGAAGTAAAATATAATGAAATGAAACCTAACAAGACTATTTTTACTTTTATTTTAATATACTTTTATTTATAAGGTTTTGCTGGTCATTTTCCAGGATCCTCTTGTACTTGCCTACTTGGTGCTTTTAGCTTTCAAGGACAGCAGCAGCAGAGACTTTCCAAACAGCATTCACAGGTCTCAGCGCAGCAGAAGCAGCAACAAAATGCAAACAAACTGTGATTTTTCGGTTATTAAAAGCACAAAAAGAAAACATTGATCAAACATAAGTTTACGGGAAAAAGAACGAGTGAATCGAAAAAGAAAGGTTACAAACCAAGCATAGATGCATCCTTTCTCTTCATGTCGCAGCTCGATGTGATCAGTGTATGACATTTCTTGATATGCTAGTGGTACATCCATTTTCTTATTTTCCAAACTATTCACCTCCTATCTAAGGTAAAATCTTGAATGAAGATTATTTATCATTACTGTAAATTAGTAAAGATTATTTATAGATAATTTAATGGGACAAGAGGGTATGCATGCAATGTGATTCTGTAGAAGCGAATGATGGCAAACAAAGATGCAACACAATTGAAAAGTTAGACAGTAGGTCTCCATGTTTGACTTTCTTTTTGTGCAACTTCTATTGTCCTTTTTATAAATCAACACAATTTTCCTATTAGCATTTCTTATGTTCACTTCCAAGGAGTTCGTTTGAAGTTTTAAATGTTTTTCTTTTTAACCTCTTTATGTAGTGTTAACTAAAATGAATTGGCTTGAATCGAATTTTCAAGGGGACATAAATGTATCAATGACCTTAGTTCATTGCTATGTCATGGTGTTTTCTTTGCAAATAAGTACCGATTTGCATATTAGGAGATAGCCATATGTGCATACTTTACGTGTGTGTGTGTGATTGTTTGTATTTTCTTAGTAGGATTGGGTATGTAGTTATGAATTTATGCTAGAGCACCCTAAGACCCTAAGGATGTTTTTAGCTGCACCGAATTTTTTTGATCTGATCTGGTTTGGTCTGGTACAAGTCTGATCTCTGCGTATTTTACAATTGCTAAAATTTGGTTTGATCTGATCTGGGACCGAAATAAGTCCAATTAAAAACATCATAATTCCCCCAATATAGTTAGTTGGATTCACGGTGAGATTTTTGGACCATTTCAATGGGAAAAAATCACTTTATATTATATGTGTAAAGATGTGTAATTGTAATTTTTATCTATTAATTATGTGATTAAAAATAAATAAAATAATAATGACCATTTGACTAGTTTAAAGATTTCAAAAGGGCAAAATTGAATAAAAATATATAACTGACACAACATGGATTTGAACTTTCACCTATGTACACTACAAAAAAACACGGGATTGACAGAGATTTTTGATAGGGATTCTCTGAAATTGGCAGGGATGTTGACACAGATATGACAAATCCGTGCCAAAAACAGTTTGGCACGAGTTATTTGGCACGAAATTATCGAAAAATCCGTGCCAAATCCGTGTCATTCCCGTAATTTTTTGTAGTGGTAATGGACTAACATTATTAGATCCACATCATCAAAAATAGACTTTATTAACAAGAATGCTATTACAAGTTAATAAAGATACATTTATGATGTTTTTAATTGGACTAGAATTTTCTAGTGGTTTGGTAACAGTCTAGGTAAAAACATTTTAAGTTCTTTAGTTATATTACAATGGTCTGAAAGTTGTTAGACCTCATAGATTCATTTATTTATATTTTATTCTCATTGTACCCCTTTCTTACATTGAACACATGAAAGTTTGTGAACACTATTGCTAGTACGAATTATTTTTATAAACACTCAGTTAAGATTATTATTAAAGAATTCATACAAGTATGGATTATTCTTGTGAACTTCGCCTATATTACATGAATTTTGTGTGTTACAAATACACGACAATCAAAAAACTTAACAGGTTAATACTATAATTGTACACAATAAAATTATGCAATTGTACACAATAAAGTTATACGGAGTACCTAACAAATTTACTATGAGGCTCCATATATACACAAGGCTCCCCAATATACAAATTCACAAGCTTTCGAAATTGTTACAGTTCTTTCATAGTATCAAAACTCTTTCGATGAGAACTTTAGACACTTCACTCTTGAGATTGGGGTTGAGATAATGATTAGAAAAGTGAGGTGACAAATGTTTTTACTTGGACTGTAATTCCTCCAGACCAGATCAGACCAAATCAGACCAGTTCAAACAAGGTCAGATTTGGGTAGTTATAAAAAACAAAAAAACCTGACCAGACCAGACCAGTTCAGACCAGTTCAGACCAGACCAGACCAGACCAGACCAACAAATTACAGTCCAAGTAAAAACATCCTAAAGGTCATAAGCTTTCACTATTTTATGTTAGTGTATTGTTGATAGTGGATTCAATTCACGAGTTTGACTAACGCATTTGATTTGGCAGACTGTGAGAAGATTTTTGGTAATTTAACTGTTTGAGCGCATCGTTTAGTAGGTAAAATGAGGGAATTGCTTATATATTTCAAAACTCTAAGCCCAAAACACTCCTAATCGTACCGTTTTAATTTCAGCTATTTTATTAAAAAATGGTAGAGAAACAATTATTTTGCACAACATGGTAGCATTTCCACTTATTGAAAATGCGACAAACACGAAATCGCTATTATTTGGATCTTCTATTTCTATGTTTGATACTATTGTAGCCATGAACTATACAATCTGTTTGTTCTTGTTATTTTTATTAATATCTATAATAATCTACTACGTATATCTATAATAACATAAAGTAACAATTCCCAAGGTGTGGATTTGTATTTGGTAATCAAGTTTCCCTCCCAATTCGATCAATTCAAAGTCTCTCTCACATAATAATATTAATTAATTTACAATAATAGGGAAACAATAACTATCTATAATCTATCTATAATAATATAAAGTAACAAGGTGTGGATTTGTATTTGGTAATCAAGTTTCCCTCCCAATTCGATCAATTCAAAGTCTCTCTCACATAATAATATTAATTAATCTATAATAATAGGAAAATAATAACTATCTATCTATAATAATACCTATAATAATATATCTATAATAATATAAAGTAACAAGGTGTGGATTTGTATTTGGTAATCAAGTTTCACTCCCAATTCAATTCAAAGTCTCTCTCACATAATAATATTAATAAATTTATAATAATAGGAAAACAATAACTATACCAATAAATGCATTTATTTATAATACAGAATATTATCTCCGTTAGGGGTGTGATTTGTCTGGTCTGGGTTGGGTTGTTACTAAATCCGAAAATTACCCGTAAGCTTTCAGTTTATGAAAATTAGGGACCGGAACAAAATCCATTATATTCGATCCTAGTCGGGTTTTTTCGTACCCCGGGTTCAGGTTGAGCCGATTAAAGTTCGAACGTGAAATCATCTCATTTTTCTTTTATATTTTAAAACCTATCTTCAAATAAAACTAATCAAAAATACAAGTCGCAAATAATAACACAAATATTAGTCTCCAAAATCTCCAACAATTCAAATTCAAAGAAGATAATTATCTGAATATTTTTTTTAGGACGCATATAAATAAATAATATAGGTTTTCTAAAAATATTACAAAATACTACGTAAAATTTATGGATAGAAATGTGACTAAAGTTACTATAAATATATTTTCATACGGTATATAAAGTTGAACATATCTGTAGTCACAAAAAGTTTTTTTTGGAGGAAAGGGGCTAGTCATAAAATGTTATTAAGTCATTTTCATCCACCTTGATTATAATCATGTATTAGGAATTTTTTATAAATTAGATTTGTACATAATATTGATTTTATATTAAGTCCATTTTTTCGGGGGTTTATCAGTCTGGGACGGGATATAGATTTTAGAGTCCGTTTATGTTCCCGAATATTCGGGTCAATCAAGGTTTTTATTATTCGGACCGGTTAAAAAGAAAAAACCCGGACCGAGAACATCATTCAAGCCGGGCTAGGATCAGTTTTCGGGTTTCGGTCCAGTTTTCCTCACCCCTAATCTTCGTCCCATAGTGTAAAGTACATGTGAATTTGACACGGGTCTTAAGAAAATACTTCATAAAACATGAAAAAAACTAGGCGTACAAAAATATTACTGAATTAAAACTATTTATATAAATAAATATTACTCCAAAGTGATTAAATTAAAGTTAATATGAGTATAACAATATGGTAAACATTATAGAAATGTTATAATCATTATACGCTTAAGAAGTCATATTTTTGTTATTAAATTATAGAAATACAAATATGCGTTAGAATTTTCATATCTAATGATAAGTTTTTTTATTAGCACGCGGTGATACCGGCTTCGTCGAATTGAAGTAACTCTCTGCTCTCACGAACTCATCCCACCGTTAAGAGATTTAAATCCGAACTTCTCAAACTATTCATTAGATTCCTACAATCTAATGACATAATTAAACATATAAACTACACATCTCGTGCAACGCATGGTTAAGAATCTACTACGTAGTTTTTATTAATAGTAGTTAGGTTGCTTCCTTTACGAAATTTAATTTGCAAATAATTTTAAGGATTATTAGTTAAATAAATCCCAAACTATCATCAAATTCACATATCTATCCTATACTTTCACCTTTACTGAAAAAAGACTCAAACTTCAACTTTCCTCACAATTACACTTTTCAATTGATGAATTAGTAAAAGTTATGAAGAAAATCCTATTTATATTTCACATTTTTCACTTCTTTCTAGTTATAAGTTTACAAACTTGTATTGCTTATATCTTATTGGTATTGATAAGAATGTGTAATTTTGAAAAAAATATAAAAGAAAAGCATAATTGTTCAAAAAGATGAAGTTTGAGTCCTTTTTTGATAAAAGTGAAAGAATGAGATAGATTTGAGAATTTGATGATAGTTTGAGATAAAATAAGCTAGTAATCCTTATTTTAATATTGTTTCTTACGGATTTTGCAATTGCCAATCAATAATCAACCTGCTAGTGCCGCTCAATAATTTTGTTTTAATTATCAGTTATGTTGTTGGTTTTGTGAGTTTGTTTGAGAATTTAGTCTTTCTTTATGTCATTGGGTATGTTTGGATCTATGGGAACATGATTGACTGTGTCAATCCCACTACATGGTTAGTGATTCGTGTTGCTCTTTCAGGGATGACCGTTTCTAAATCTGATCATAAGGTTTACGGTCGTAGTTGTTGGAGTTTAGTTAGTGTGTGTTTTGTTTTTCTTTTGATTGATGTAGTTATCCTGAAACTTATGATATGAATAGAGACATGTTTTTAATGATCAAAAAAATCTCACAAAAATGTTATCAATTCTGCCCGCTGTTAAAATATAAATATCTCGTGTTATTTCATCTCTTTCTCTTTCGGATGATATATACGGAGTAACTGCTAATACCAACGAGGAAAGGAACGCCGCATATAATTGAGATAATGATTAGATGATGTGACCATAGTTGTGAAAATACATTCATGTTTAAATGACATGATGTGCAAACGTGCTATCTTAATTGCGACTTAATTATT